TGTCATACAATAATATTACGCATACGCCTAGTGTGCACAATGTTTGTATCCAAGGTGTACCTCTAAAATTTGACTATAACTTACTTTTCTCTTCTACTCCCAAAGTATTAAATCTATCAATTCCAATCAAACTCATTAGGTTAATTGCTTCCCATTTGAAAATTGACTATCTTAGCTGCTTCGTCTTTCACCTTTACACTTTGTTAATCCTGACAAATCCCTAATTTCATCCTAGTTTTGGCTGCCCCATCCTGGGCTCTGCTGCTTGGTAGCAGAGCTACTTGGTGAGTCGTCCTTTTCCGCTCCCCAGATTTGCAGCAAAGTAATTGTGTCAATCACTTGCCCTGGCAGCGCCTCCTCCGCCTGACAGAAATTAATTTTACTCGCCGCACACTTTGTGGTGTTTTGTGTTTGGCGTTTTGGCGAGGTGGTCTACTTATGACTACGAACCTTGGTGGAGACCTCAATGTTGCCCAATGACACAGCATGATGCAGACCTGTAAATGAAAAGGTCGTTGTTTCATTTGCCAGCGGAATAAAAGATGTGATTATGTGCTTTTGAGCCGGGGATGCCAAGGACTCACCAGTTCCAGTCGTTGATGTTGACGATGCTCTGTTTGTGCCACGCAAGGCAATATCCATTTTCAAACGGCAACAAAGGAAATAAAATGGAAAAGAAAATAAAAGCGAAACAGGGGCAAACACACACACACACACACACAGGAGATTCTATATATATATCCAGGGAAATCCTTCTTGCTGCCTCTTTCCTTGCCTTTTCGTGTCAATTGTTTGGGCCAGGCTTTGAAATCCTTAACTTTAGCTGCTCCATGATGTCTTCAATATTGATGATTAAAAAACTTAATTACTACGAGTACGGCCTGTTGTTCGTTGTCATTTGAATCGCTTATCCAGACGCTTTCGACTGCGTTTGTATACTAATCTTCGTGGACTTATGCAAGGCAGTCAGCAATCGATATTCGCGCTGGCCAAAAAACGATGGAAAAGCCGTAGGAAAAACGCAAAGTTGACGCTTCTTGCTGGCGCTTTTCCACTGCCCTTTAATTTGTGAATGTTTTTTTTTCTTGGAGTTACGCTGGAGTCGCGTTAATTGTTCTTAAATTTCGCTGAGCTGGCTGCTTTTCACAGGGCTTTTCTCCATTTTTTTCGGCTGGGGTGTGTGTGTGTGCTGCGTGGCTTGAGTAACCCGACAGTTTTCACGGATTTTCCGGTCTCCAAAACACGCTCCACACTCGACGGCGCTGATGCTGGAACTGAAACTCAGCCAGCACTCGCATTTTCCGACGCACCGAGAGAGCAAGAGTTTTCCGCACGAATTTTAAGAGAGTCGCGCTGGAAGCGAGGCAAACATAAAACAGATGTTCGGCATCTGCTGCGTTGGGCGGTTGGTGGGTGGGCTGGTGGATTTTCTGCTCCTCTGGCTTTCGGCGGATTCTGCGGCTGCAAAAGCGCAACAATGAAAACGCCTGGAAGTTGGCAGCGGCAGCGGAGCATGCGTTTGCGCAAAGCAGCTCCACAAAAAGCCAGCAGGACGTATGTCAACAAGGCAGACAGTCGGCCAGGACATGCCATCGTCATCGTCATCGCCATCGCCACTGCCACACATCCTTGTGCCTCATGCAGCTATTTCGGTGGCAGCAGCCGAACCTATAAAAAACGCGAGTAACTGAAGAAACAGCAGCATCGGCACGTAGCCAAGGGCTAAATTTCACTTACAACGCGTTCGAGACGTCCACAAAAGTCGACTTCACACGGCTTCCATGTCTGGCTTTAAGGCAAAAACATGTCTAACAAAATGTACACGGTAACACAACTTTCATTTCACTTAATATTACACGGCATCTTCGGCAACTCGAACATGAACGATTTTATATTAATGGTGTTTCAGCCAGGATACTTGTAAATATATACATCTATATATATTTGAGGAAAGCCAGAAGAACAATGAATAAGTGTACTTAAAAGTACCAACCAAATCCAAGGTAGCAAAATAAAACAGCGGCACAACTGAGTGCAGCTGGGTTTTTATGGGCGATGATTGAGTGCATAACTTGATTGTCTGAGTAGGGATGCGAATGGTTTAAACCTTTTAAAAAATTATGGTTGTCATAAGTATAAACCTTTCAGCCATTTTCCCGGTGCAGACCCATGCTATCATCTTCGGGAAAGCTTTAATCGGAGCTACGAAGCTTTCATGCCTTTGCGGAAGAATTTAATTGGTTTTTGTGTGCGAGTGGGGAAGTGCTGGGAAATGCTCCGGCATTAGGAGTAGTTAGGTTAATTTGCTTGAGATATCTGCCACAAAATGAAAGAACAAAGCCAAACAAAGCTGCCACTGCAGCATTTCAACTAAATTACTCTGAAATTTCCTATGGCATACTTTTGGGGTGGGAATTAGGGGACAGGGGTCATAACAAAATTACAACAGCTACGCAAACCACGAATTTAGGTCTGCTTTATGGCATTCGGCCACATATAAAACGTTTGAAGATTCATTTGGCGCAAGGGGAATCAACAGAATGAAACTCAGTGTGGTTTCTTAAGGCTATCTTAAAGTGGTCAACAAAATGGGAGTCACATTTTTGGAGCGCTGTGGTCAAAATTTAAGCCTAAAAAAGAAGAATATTATAAGGTGACTAATACTTTTACTAAAGTGTTCAATTTAATCCCGACTGTACCTCCTTAATAGTATAAATTGTTTTAATGCAATATTAACAGATTAGTTTTTACTGATAGATGAATCGCTACTTGGTAACGATGATCTGCGTTATATTTTTGTTTGGCAACAACGCATAAATAAGAAACCCCTCTCATCATTGTTTTTCCTGCTTAGGAGCTGAGTAAATCATAACTCATATGGGGCTGACTTTGCTTAGTCAACAAGTCGACACGAGAGGTTAGCCCTTGCCCAATCTCGCTCACCGCATCTGTACGAGTATATCCCCATAAGCTAGGCCAATCTTTAATCAGTTATGTAACCCAAAATGCCCAGACCGAAAAGCCTCAGCCATTTCCTCAATATAGACGACGATAGTTTCCGTTGCACGGTGTTTGCTTAGAGTCCACACTTCCAGCGCCAACGAAATCATCCCCAGTACGAGCCTATATTTCCACAGCCGAAATGTTGGTGTGTGCGTAACTGGGCGTGCATATGTATGAGTTGGCCTACACAGCGAAAAAAGAACAATCCAACTTGGAAAATAATATTTGCACGTATTATAAAATAATATTGGAAACAATGAGCCCGAAAATGATGTTGCAACGAAAATGTTCGATTTATACTTGGAAATTCAATTTGCCTGTGCGAAAATTGATTTCAGTGCATGAGTGTAAGCTAGCAGCAAATTGTCTTATGGGCCCTGTGAAGTTTCTCGCCGTCGCAGTGCTTACTACGCAAATATTCAGGCTTTCCTGCAACGGCGGCTTAAATGTGCTTTCGGCCTGATATTAAGGCAAATATCAAGCATACGCACTGTGGCCCCGACGCGCCGGCATAATGCATGAAAAATTGAGCATGTCATTGACGCTGGGCTGTACGCTATATGCTATATGCGGCATATATGTGCCGAGAGTCAGCCGATTTACCCAGGACGACTGTTTACAGTCTAGGCACGTCTCGTAATGGGGAGCCCGGGGTTATGTGCCCACAATATATGCAACATTAAGGGTCGGTCTTGACTTTGGCTAGGGTAAACTTTTTAATCGCCTCGGCTTTAGAGTGGTGCCTCTTTTATGGATGGCATCCCGTGCCGCACAAATTGACGCTTTATGTTAATGCCATTAATTAATAAATGAAATATGACATTCACACTGTGGCGCTGTTGAACCTGTTTATTAAATTTTAGCACGTAATAAATGAAAAGTTTATTGTGGCCAAACACAAATCCTGCCGGGTTTTTGGGGTTAAAACGCTCAACTTACCCGACATTCTGGGATTTCTGCATCTTTGGCTATTCAAATTGAATGAAATTGAATGGCAGGCTTTTCGTTTATGCATTCTTTATTAACATTTATCACACTAAACTACTAATGATAAAGAGTTACAAATATGAGTTTCTGCGCTTAGGTGTTGCTCTGAAAAATTTCACGTATCTAAATTCCATCAGATAAAAATTGTTTTAGCTACAAGTTGTACCTTAAGTTGGTTAGTTCTCTTTGTTATTTTTTATTCCGGCGAAATTGCAAATAGTTAATTTATTTTTTATTTTCTGGCACATAGATATGCTTGTGGGTGTAATAACATTTAATGCTAAGTGTATCGTTTTCGCTGAACACAATTGGCGAAAAGGAGTTGGATTCGAAGTTATATCTAATTTTATTTTATTGACCGAGAAAGAGCAAAGAATTTCTTTAAAAATTGTATAGCTTCGTTTGAACATATGCAAACATTTCTTTTATTGCGATCCATGGCAGTTGGCTTGACTTGGGTCCATTTGTTCGTGCATTATAAAAATAAGCAATGGAAATTTATATACAAAGAAAGTGGGATGCGGAAAATTCGTTTGGCTTTTTTTAAGGTCTTTAATACACGTATTTTCATTCGATTGGCTTGTAAATTTTTACAAATTGGGCTTCCGCTTCGTTAGACACTTGCATTTTGTTTTCCTTTATCATATTGTTTAAATTTGTCGGCTTCCTCTATTTTCGACTGCCACTTTACTAGATTATTTTCATATTTGCTTTATGAAAGCATTCTCCCGCTGATGATTTTTCCTGTAATATTATGCTGTCCTTTCTTGTTTATTTATTTTTTAAGCTTTCCAAATATTTTTATTATGCTGTTTACTTGCCGCTGGGCATTTTTCTTTTGTTTGGCAAATTAACGATTTCCTTTTTTATGTTTTATTTGTTTTTAATTGGTTGTAATGCGAGCTGCTATTTAGCTGATTATGCACCTGGCTCTTTTAAAAATGCAGATCTTTATTTGAATGAATTACTAATGATTTACAAATTGGCTTTGCATATTTTCTTTTATTTTTTTCTGTTATTTATGGGCCGTATATTTTAAAATGTGCTGGGGATTATTGTAGTTCGCTTCCAATCGAAAAAATGAAAATGTAATGTAGCCTTGAAAATAAAATGGAATTCACCTTTCAAAAGGTGCAAATAATATATGCATAAAGGCAAATATTTTATTATTGATTTACGGGTTAGAAAAACTACAAGGTATCCATTCCAAAATATTGACCACGTACGAAGTAAAGTTCTGCCCAATAAATTAAGGCTATCATATTGGCAGTAATTATGTTTTCGTATGCCTCATTTCGATTGGAAAATAAGGCGAAGGTAATTTTCATTTCCATCGGCAGTTGGTTTGCTTTCATTCTGTCGTCCGTCGTTAAACGCTTCTTAATTATGCAATATATAATTGTTATTGAAAATAAAGTAGTTCGCCGACACGAAAACTCCGCACTGAGAACCTTTCAGCGTTTTCCTCCGGAAAAGAGCCGTTTAATTGGATCGACTTCATTGTCTTTTGTATGTATGTATATATCGTTAATCGGTTTTCGGTGGTTAAATTGTATGCACGTTTATAAAATGGACCATTCAAGATGTTTGTTTGTTTCCGTTTTCATTGCGTCTGTCCTCTGCTCGATTGAATTATCTCATAAATATTTATGTATTGGCCACAAGTTGAATACTTTTTGCTTGAGACAAAGATAAAGCTTTTCGTCTGTCCGTAATCTCTATAATATATCAATATGCTAATGAGTAAAATTTCCATCCTATCTTATGCATGCGTATGTGTAAAAGTTGAGTGTGGATTTTTTGTTTTGTGAAAAATTCATTGAGTTTCTTTCTTCGTTTGGGCGTTGTGGGACTTCCTTCGGTTGGTTGCTGTTTTTAAGTTTACCTTTCTAATAGAGCTACGACAAAAGACTAGAAGAGATCTGACAAATTGTGCATGCGGTTCACGTAGCCGTGTGTGTGGGTGGGACCATAATACCAAAATATAAGTTTTATAGCACCCAATTGCTAGGGGGCATCTTCGATTTTGTTTGTTCTCTGGTTTCGATCACACTCGAAGAAAATGACACCGAAGCCTATTTAATCACGACACCATAAATGTGGAAAATCTGCCTAGGTTTTAGATTTTCTGATTTCTAGAAAGTAAACAGTTTGTTGAAGGGTTCTAAGCGTATGCCTTGTAATATTTTGAGTGCGGAACTCTCTGGGAGACACGACAACCTTTCGGTAAAGCATACTTATAGACATCGTTTTAGGTGCTGATAAACCTCCCGAGATATAGTTGGAAACCCGACTTATTTAATCATAAGATACCACTATTTTTGAAATACATAGCTTTCTAGTATTTGTGAAAGACAAGGGTTTTCTCTCTGCTTTTCGCCGAGTGCCATTGCCACATACCATATTCTTACACGGACGTGGTGATTTGCTCCACGAACTGAACGGCATTGGGCCGGCACAGGGATTGGGATCGTTTCAGCCGGCATTGTGGATTGTTCCGCAACGCCGAGTTTCCCGACCCCGCCCCCGCCCCCTGGCTGTGGCGGTGGGGGGTTCTTTGCAGGGAGGCATAGGCGTGCGGCACGTAGATGAACTCCCGCGTGGGGGCCGGAAAAGTGGCAGGACCCTGACGACAGTTACACTGCTGCGACATCGTGGACAAACCCTCTGGAACACTGCGGCTGCGGGTGGAACTGGGTGGTCCGTGTGGTCCAGATGGTCCAGGTGGTCCAGTTGGTCCGTGAGTTCCATAGGCGACCGGATTCCTATTTGGACTGCTGCAGGTGCATATCAATGGCTGACGGTCCGCCGAACCTGGGTTCCTGCAAAATGGCAAGTCAATTTCCATAGTTTAGTCGGAGTGTCAACACAGTTTTCGGCGTGCGGCAAACTGGTACGAGTATCTCAGGCTGGCATCGCAAAAGCCAAAGTGGCAAATTGGCAAAATGGCAAATTTGCGGCCTGCATGAGCAACGAAGGACGTCGCCAAATTGATTGTCTTCCTAGGGCTTCTAGCCTGATTGCCATTGATTGTTTGGTTCGGCGGGAAATCTCCTAATTGGTTTTTGATTCAATTCAGATGTTGGCTTCCGCTTTGGCTACTTCGACTTTGAATCGATAAATTAACTGAGGTCTCCCTACATTTATTACAAAGAGCCACTTAACCACGGAATATTACTGGTTATAACACAAATAAAGTGAATTTAACGTTTAAGCCACGTTTATGTGGCTTTAAATTTAAGAATGTGAAATATAAAGCCCTGATAATTCCGATAAAGTCTGTAAAATGGCTTCCCGCTTCAGTAATGCTAAAGCTTGTGTTAAATAACATAAAATAAATATTATTTGGCATATAAAAACCATTTACATACAATTTTGCAGCTGCACATGTGCAGCACCGCCTTTAATTTAATACTTTTCCTGCGCAGTTGTAATCCCTTTGACGTTTAGCAATTTACTCTACGTAGCTGTCAATGGCTACTTAGCTTGTAAAATTGGCAGGCAATTTCCTACGCATCTTTGATTTGCCTTTCAATCGCATATAGAGGAAGCTGGCTTATTGCACACGTCGGAATGATTAGATGTCGCCTTCCCACTCTACTCACTTGTTGCTCTTGTGACAGCCCAGTTCGTAGGTGCTGTGCCAACTGCAGTACATTTGGCCATCGCAGCAGTTGCTGTGCTGCTGGATGAAGGACAGACTCCGCTGCAGCCGCTTGCCCATCTTGGCCCCAATGCTCCCCTGGCCCCACTGGTAGGCTCCACGCCCCTGGAAGATTCAAAAAGCATAGGTAGAATGTGTTAGTTATCCATTGAGGAATAACTTCTCATGAAGGAGTCTAAAAGTACGGTAACCGAGCAGCTTTTTCCACAACCTACTTGTAGACAGCTTCATGATTGGCTTTTTGCGATTAAAATACTGTTACTAACGTCCAAATGTGACATTACCTGGTGCTGCTGCAAGTCCAGATTGTGGCAGGCCAACTGTTGCAGGTGGGAATGCTGCTGCTGCTGCTGTTGCTGCTGCTGCAACATGTGCCTTTGGCAGAAGTTCGTCTGCAGATAGGGCTCCATTTGATTGAGACTAATGCAGCTGCGACTGAGGAGATCGGGGGCGGGGTACTCCCCGTATCCATAGTCCATCGGCAAGGGGGGGCGGTGCTGACGGGCGGAGGAGTGGCGCATCAGTGTGGGCGTCGCCAAGTGACCATTTCGCTGCTGATAATGATGGTGCAACTGCTGCTGGTGCTGCTGATGCTGCGGCTGCTGCTGCGGCTCGCTGATGAAAAATATTATAATTCCCGAGATGGCAGCCGCCGCCGAGCATATGTAATAGCCCGCCCGGCCATATTTGAGGGAGTAATCGTTCAGAAACGAGGTAAGTGGCACGCTTATCAGCACAGGAACTGACTCAACCCCCCGGATGAAGCCTGCCACGCAAAGAGCCCAAAGTCAAATCCGCAATTTAAATATTTAAAGTGTGTGCGCTCACCCCAGGCCTTGGAGAAATGTTTCAGCTTGATGCGTTCGAGTGCCAAAATCTTCAGGGAGTATTGAAAGCCGCCCAGGCCAATGCCATACAGCCAGCTCAGTATGCAAAGGCCCGTGTAGCCCATGACGAAGGATAGAAAGAGGATAGCCAAGGCCACAATTGATAGGAACAGCTGGGGAATACATTAAAGTTCAGCTTGAATAGGGTTCAGTATTAAAATATTTGCTCATTTCTCATAATAAACTGCTCTTATTGGCTGGCAGCTTTACTTCTTTAGACGCTTTTTTGCAAATGACCAACTCTTTTGAGCTGCCAATGACACTTGACCCACCTGCGTGACAATCTTGGTATTGATCACAAAGTGCCTGATCACAAAACAGCGTCTTAACAGAGCTCCAGCTATGACCACTCCCAGGGCCATCGAAATTCCCAGAAATGTTTGCAACAGGACCAATTCTTGCACATCAGAGCCCTGCTCGGCGGCATTGAGTGCCTGTGGAATAAGGATACTTATGCCTCAGATAAAAGATACTAATGAGTAACTCTATGACTCGAATAAGGTGCTGGAAAGTATGCCGCAATGTGCATTAAGAACTGCATACTTTAGGGCATCTTATAAAAGCTCTTCCATTATTTAGGCTCTACTTGATTAGATAATGGAAGCGTTGCACGCCATAAGTCGAGAAATTAGGAAAAGCACTTACCATTAGGAACATGGGTGTATAAATGCCAAAAGAGGCCACGCTGGAGGTCATGAGTAAAATTTTAACAGTCACCGACTTCAGTGATGATATGTCCAGAAAAAAGTACTTGGGTGTGCTCTCCACCTCCTGGCCGAGAATCGGCTTTTTCTCCCGCATCTGAAAGTGGAATGGAGAATGGTTGGGCGGCAAATCAAAACCGAAACTTTGCACAACACACAATTTCCCACCTTTTTGCGCTGATTTTTGAGGTGCTGGATGGCCCGGCGCTGGGGATGATAGAGGGAGGCGGGTCGGTACATTAGGCCCATGAAAAAGCTGAGTGCCGTCAAAGCAGCGACAATCTGGAGGCCCAGGCGCCAGCCCGCCTTGCCCACGCCCTCCTTCAGAATGACGGAGAACAAAGCGATGCCAACTCCCTCGCCGGACATGGCCACCATTTCGACGAATTGACGGCGCCGCTTAAAGTAATTGCCCAGCATCACGGTGGAAGCTTCCCGCACCATGGCGACCCCAACTCCGAAGACGATGCCTGTGGAAGTGGAAGTGCATTGCGAGAAAATAGTAGCTATACTGTACAAATTCTGATACTTTTGAAGCTGCTTAAAAGTATGCAGCCAGCAACTTGGCTTCGCTCATGCATTGTTGCATACTTTTGGGCATACTGTTTACTTTACGGTGTCTATGAGTGATATGGTAACTTTTACAATTCGTTTTTTTCAGTGCCTGGGTGCAAATGATAAGCGACTTCCGGTGGCGTCAAACTGGCATCTGGCAGGTTATTTATTTATATACAAACCATAAGCCCGGGCAATACGCACCATAACTGAAAACAACCTGGCCGAATTCCGTGGCAAATGAGGTGAACAATATGCCCAGGGGCATCACCAGTCCACCCACGATGGACAGGAGGCGGATGGAGCGTTTACGGCACAGCGACACCACAAACGATGTGGCCACCATGGAGACTGACCAGCTCAAAGCGCCCAGCAGTTCTGCAAGGAGAAATTAAGCTCTTGAGTGATTATGTTCTAAACCGGCGGAGTCAACTTGACGAAGGTCACCAGGAAAGGTTCCCGAAAGGTGCGGTTCGCGGTGTTAGTGCCTCAAAAAAAATGCGGGTATTCCAGCTTAAAACAAATTAAGGGTGCCGATGGCCATAAATCAATGGAACGCATTAGCCAAATGGCATTCTGGTGTTTACACATGCTCCACACTTAGTAAATCATAATTAAATTCCATGTTGTACCTTTCAATTGAATCGATTAAATTGACATGGCGATTGCATTACACAACTTTATTTGTTGTCCGTCCTAACATAAGAATATTAATTTGGCCATGCTAGCAATGAATTTGAGTGGTCAACGAAGCCATACTTCAAATATTATGACAGTGAATGATTTATGGTTTTTTAAAAACATTTTAAAACGCTTTTATGAACAAATGCATGAATTACGCAGCCGATTAATGGGAAAATAACAGTTTGTTATGGCCTAAACCAATGCACGCATTATTCTTACGATTTATGGTTGGCTTTTAGAGTGCTGAACTCTTTTGGATATAGACAATATTCACACTGTTCTTAAATGATGTCCGCACTGTCAAGTGCAAATGAAATTTATGCAAAAGCCCACACCTACAAACATTTATTATTCACAAACATTTGCATTTGTGGCCCAAACAGTGTGACAAACATTTTGATTACTCGACGGGGGGTGTTCTATTTCAAAATAGAAAGCACCACAAATGTGCAGGAAAGCAAGGAATGACCGAGAGATAACAACCATGATTATACGTTCCCATTAAAGTCTGGCCAAAGGATTCGTACCCCTTTTTCCCATGACTTACCTATGCCACTGGTATTATGCAAATACTGGACGGCATAGAACCACAAAAGGCCGTAGCTCAGCTGCAGTCCGGTGGTCAGGATGTGGACCAGAAAGGACACTCCACAGATGATCCAGCCCCAGCCGCCGTCGGGGTAGAAGTACTGCAAGTGCACGGAGCAAAATGTACAGGATATGTGTGTAATATATGGACTTATAACTGAATTCAAAAGGTAAAGTAAAGTAAAGTAAAGTAAAATAAAGTAAAAGTAAAAGGTAAAGGTACTCAACCCAGAAATACGCATAAATGAATAAATTAAGCTTAATATTTGTCGATTAAAATACGAATATCTAAAAGATAATCCCGGTTTCTTGCAGTACACAAAGAATATCAGAACAAAGGCTGGCAATTACTGTTTGACATGTCCTTTTTGCTGGACACACTTTCTGTGGCACTGCTCACCTGTCTGATGCGTGTGGTATCCACTCCGGTTCGTCGCAGTGCCGGAATGTTCCGGTGCAGCAGGTGGAACTCTCGATCGGCCAGGCCGGGAAATGCGGAATCCTCCTCGTCGGTTATGTGGCTTGGATGCGGGGGCGTGGCATGCAGGCTGGGATGATGATTCGCCTCGTAGCCTGGGCGATGAAAAACAATTGAGCGATGATTTAATGATGCTCTGGTTTGTTGCGGCTCGCCCAAATGCAAGCTTGTCTTATTAAAAATTAACTTTATTTTGGCACCAATTCCGTATCTTAAAAGTGCTGCAGGACTTTTAAAAGTGCTCCCCTTGGCAGGGGGCAAATAAATTTTGCTCAAAAGTAGCTCTCCCAAAAAGCGCTCTTTTTCAATTAGAACCTAATTTATGGCCTGTTCTTTTGAATATTGCATGAGTGTACTTACCAAAATAGCAGCCGCCGTTGGCCATCAGGTTCTTGGCCCTTTGTTGGTGGTGCTGCTGTTGCTGCGTCGGCGGCGGCGGTGGCTGATGGTACCAATTATCGCAGAGGCAATACTGCGGCCCGTACTGGTGGGGGTGGTGCTGATGCTGGGCCACTGGGTGGTGCTGCGTATGATGGTGGTCATGCTGATGGTGGCTCTGATGGGCGGGTGGCATGGGATTGTACATATAACAGCAGCCATTTAAATTTGGGTTCGCGTAGCGGGGCGGCGGTGGGGCGGGCATTACACCAGCCATGCCAGAAGCCACCGCACCACCCGCTACACCACCACCAACGCCACCCCCGCCGCCACCGTGTCGACTGCAGTGGGGCATCATGGGCATGGTCATCTGGTGCTCAATGGTGGGCAATGTGGCATAGCTGCCGAAATTGTCACAATGCCGTTTGCTCGGGAATCTGGGCACGTTGGGTGGTGTGCTGGTGGCTTGGGGAAGGGCGGTTTGGGTGCCCACGCCCCCGCCAACGCCAACGCCAACGCCAACGCCTCCGTGGCAGTGACGTGTGGGCGTGGCCGCGGACTGCATTTTCGTTTGCTCAGCGGGCAAATACGAGAGCCGTGGACATGAGACCCACCAGGCCAGCGGTTGATTATTGAAACGACACTCGTAGCACAGATAGCGCTGGTTCGTCGAGTCCTTGTCTGGTTTCGATTGGGCGTTAGTGCTCCCACTTCCTGGATGTGCGGCAGTTTGCCTGGGATGCTCACAGCTGAGATTGTATCTTCGTCACAGGGCACATTTGTTGCACAGCACGGGACTGCGTTGCTTGGGCCTCACCAGACTCGAGTACTGTCGTGGATGCTCTGAGGGATTCTCTTCGGGATTCTCCTCGGGATTCTCCTCGGGATTCTTGGGTATTCTCAGCCAGGAATGACGGTTGTTGGTGCTACTGCTGCTGGGCAACAACTGGGGACAGCTGCCATAGAGCGCCGATGAGGTATTCGATAGGCGGCGGTAGTACGGTATCCTCTGCTCCATATCATCGCCACCGAACGAGGATCCCAGCTTGTACGGCTGACTGCGACCCGGAAGCAGGCAGGATATGACGCTCCGGTTATCTCTACTATCACTGCAGTTGCAATCACATGTGCACTGGATGACCATTGTACTCCTCCGGCTCCCCCTCCGCCAAGAAAAAATGCTTTTAACCCTGTGCTCTTGACTCGCTGCACCGAAGTGTTGTCAACTTCAATGCCGCCCACTCCTGCAGCACATTATTTTCGAGTTTGGCGTCTCGGTTTCGGTTTCAGTTTCGGTTTCAGTTTCGGGTTTGGGGCTTCCTTATCGGTGTCGAGCTCCCCAGGATTTCTAGGCAGCTGCCGCCGCCAGTGTCCGACAGAATCCATTTGGGGCCATCTCTACTTTGCCAAGCCAAGCGCAATATTCTGTTGCACCACTGGAAAAAAATATAAATCAAAAATCAAATAAGTAATAAGCATGGGTACAAACTGCGTAGACCAGCGCACATTAATTATTCAGCATTTCCTATTTCTATAATTAACTAATACCAATAGAAAATTATTTCCATATTTTATTGCAAATTTTTAAAGTTTTTATTTTTTTTCAGTTTTTCTAAAATCCCAAAGAGTCACAGATAGAATTAGACGTTGTGGGAACGAAAAAAGGAGGAGCAGCGTACCAACGGGAGTCGATAAATAAATCAAATCAAAATCAATTTGTTTACTCTACACCAGCACACAAAACAAGGAGCATATGCAATGCATAATTCAATTTGTTGTTCGAATGCGTGTATTTCAATTGCCTGCCAGCCATGTTAGTCGAGTGGGCGGGCGGCTGGCCACGAGGGGGCGTGGCACTCACAGAACTTGGCTAAGTGAAACTTTGCGGTCATTGTGGCAGAAGAATTAGGGCAAATTGCGACCGGCGCTTCGTATAACACATTTATGCCCGCCCCGTCATATTTTATTTGCGTTTTTTTCAAATTATTTAATATCCTCAATGGAAATGAACTTAAAATTGCTCAAAGAATGTGTCCCTTTTTGCGAGGAATTTGTGTGTTCACATTGACCTGGAAAAATGTTCCACATTTTTATGGCTGCGTAAAAGATTTCGTTGTTTAATATTTAAAATACCAATTATACCCGTTACACGTAGAGTAAAGGGTATACTAGATTCGTCGAAAATTATAAATTCTTAAAAAATTAAATATTCCTCATCAGGATCAATAGCTGAGTCGCTGAGTAACGGGTATCTGATAGTCGGGAAACTCGACTTTAGCATTCAATCTTGTTTTTGCTAAATTCTGCAGCACATGACTAAAGTAATGTACTCTCTTTGTAGGGCATGAGAGTGGAATTAGTATTTGGTCAGATTTGCACATCGAGCACCCTTATCAATGTCACGCAATATGGAAAATAAATGTCGAAATGCGTGGTGAATTTATTACTGGGCTATTTATTTGCCAATAATGTTTACTTAAGTGGATCACTTCGTCAATTCTGTTCACTTGGTCTTTGAAACTTAGCGGAATGAAAAGTTTTTGCTCGTTGCAATTATAACACTTTGAAGTTTACAAGATAATTTCCTGAGAGAAATATGTCAGCATGATTAGGGCTCAAAAGTTACCTTCTTGAGCAGGAAAATCGTGATTGAAAGGACCTTCGTCAAATGTGTCAGCTATGAATGTTACAAGTTGAACTGCGAATTAATTGAAGCTACGAGCTTCGAAACTATACATTACCTACGAATTCATGATCTACACAAAACGTAGTGTTGACTTTAACCAGAAATGACTGAATTTTTCCTTTAGCCTGGAAAATTCAAGAAGCCCCCGATTTACCCAAAAAGTTGATTGATTTATGTCTTCATCGTTTGACTATTTCTCCATTAAGGCACGATGGTATCATTTAGATTAGTCCAATGTCCCATCGAGGAGCTATAAAAATGATAAATGATCTGTAGGAAAACAGTAAACGTGGAGGAGTTGGAAAACAAAAGCACCGAAAGGGAAACTTGCATCATTTTGCATTGGGAAAACTTTGTGCAGCAGCATATGGCCCAGTTATCCAGTTTTATGGCTGCACACCCAGCGATTTGGCCAACGAGCATTTTCGCATTTCGCCTCACAATGCACAGAGGCGCATTTAAATTGATTGCGGGAGGAGCGGAAGCTTTCCCGAGAAAAGGAAGTCGAGGAAAAGGAGCAACATCAATCAAAAACCCGCTCCAAAGGATCTCAGCAGGTGGGCTGCAGGTGTTGGGGTGGTGAAGTTCTCCTGGAATGCCGCTACGACTATTACCTGTGGAAACATAAAATTTAACAACATTGTAGCAGAGAGCAAACAGGCTATACATTACGATATCCTATGCTTGGCTGCACTGAAAAAAAGAAGGCGTGAGTGCATATAATTCTGTACCCATTCGTAGCTTGACCCCTTTAAATTTCAAAATTTTCAGCTCGATGCGGTCAGAAACTATAGGTTTTGTTAGTGAAGCGTACAAACACTTTCTACTTTTCTCATTTCCTCTCTAGTAAATTACATTATAAACTCCTTTTCGCCTGAAAACATTATTATAAAATAACAAACTAGTTTTTTCCTGTACAGGAAAACAGCAAAAAAAAAATTTGATTCCCATTTTCATTCCTTTTGTGGGATGTTGGTCTTTTCACAGCTTTTCGGGTTTTCTTTTGCTGCTGCGTTGGTGCGTTGCAATAAAATCCTTAAATATCCTTGTGGGGCACATGGACACAAATATGACTCGGTCATGTCAGCAATTTTATGTTCTTTAAAATGCAATATTAAAATGTAAAAGTGCCGGGCGATGATGGCAACGATTTCAATATGGATCCACTCACCTCCCAGCAGTTTGGCCCTCAGCTGGCGAAGTGTTGACTTAACTGGTCATTGACTTTACCAACTTTACGCGGCAGTCAAAATTATGCAGTCCGTTTCGGAACTGTATGACACCTGACAGCAGCTGGCAGGGATTAACTTTTAATAAAGTCGAAGGTGGCTTATTTAATTAAATGCTGCAACTACTGCCTAAGCTGATTGATTAAAGCCCAATTGTGGTTGCCTCTGAGGGATTACTAAATTGATTGAGTTGTTGGCGAATTAGATTTCAATTATAATACGTTAAGCCTCAATAATTGAAGCCTACATCTAGTTACAAACTGTAAATGTAGTTCATAGAATAGGCATAGAATTTCATTTAATTAAAGTCCGAATAATTGGGAGCTCCAATTACACACTGCATACTTGCAGGCGCCCGACTAATGAAATATTTCTGACACTGCTGCTGGTGGGTGGTGTTACACTATCGAAACGCACTGTAACCACCCGCATGAGACCAAAAACTGCCGTCGTGTGTCTGTGCGTTTGTGTCCAAAAAAAGGCCAACTTTTATTTACTGGGGGCGTGGCGCAGTGGGCGGCCAGAAGGTGAGATTTAACTGGATGCCGGGTCATTCTGGGGTCGGTTTACTTTGCTGATTAAACATATGCGCCAACATCAGCGAGCCGCAACAAAAAGGCAAAAAATAAAGGGAAAAGAGCACAGAAGGGCGATGGCTCAGCCACATAAAATTTATTTAAACTTTTCAGCTAACGTTTTTCTGCGCGGTTCGGGCTGGTCGCCCCATCCACCCATACACCCATCCACCCCTCCACCAAGCGACAGATAATGGGTATCATATTGCCTCGGGGTTTCGCATTTTAGTTTGCTTGTTTTTGCCCGTTTTTTGCACTTTGCATTGTAATAAACACGCGACAATATGCGAACAGCAGCAGCAGCAGCAACATTCAGTGGCAAGACCATAAACAGCATCAGCACCCTTAAATAAAAATAGATGTAAATAAAATGCGCCGAGCGAAAAGCGTAGATAATAAGAGGAAGCCAGCTTTCGTGTTGGCCATGTTCCTATTACGGCTTTCTGCTCGTGGCCAAAACAGCAGGAGTTCCGTCAAGAGCTTATGCGGTGGATGAAAGTTAAGTATTTAAAACAAAATGCTTCTCAGCTGGGATTAAAAGTAATATATCGACGTGGAAAAACTCGATGGTTTTTACCTGAAAAGGTCAACAAACCATTGGACTTAAAGCAATTTCGCAATTCAGCACATTTAACTTTCTATGGGTTACTGAACAACCTTTTATCTGGCAAATTTAAAAATGTATATCCTCATTTATAAATTAAGCACGTTTATAAGTTGGGCAAGAAGGGTAGAAATATTATTCAAAAACAAACTCACATCCATTACAGATTACCTTACACAGTAGCTAAACTTTTCACTACAGCTATTGCAGCCGTTTTTCCGATCGAACAATTCAAACTTTTACGGACATCGAAAAATTTTGAGATATGTGTGACAGTTAGGAGTAGCATTTTCAATTCAAAACAAGTTTCGGGCAAACAACTTTGTGAACTGTATCGAAATTGTTTGCCAGAACACGCTGGTCCGACTTTCTTTCCATTTCTTTTGCCATATGCACTTACAACTTTTATTTGGCCGCCTTGACAGAAAAGGGTACGAATTTTGATGTCTTTTTGTTGGCTTCTTTGGGATATACAATCTGTATATGTACATACATATATATGTACATAAGTGCCCCTTTGTGTGGCTGTGGGTATGCGAAATGCGAAGAAATTTCGGCATTCCCTGGGGCAAAATCATTTGCAATGCAGCCAGCGGCAAAGGGATATATTAATACTTTTTCATTTAGTCTGCAGTCTTTCCAGCGAAAAAAAAGGAACGAAAACTTTTCAACTCGAACATTTCTTGCGCCTTCTGTAAGTTTGCGCATATATTATGGCCACGAAAAACTCAGCAGTGTCGACTAATGGATTTATGTTTTTCCCCAAATTACGAATTGAACCGTACGTGGCATTAAAAACTGCCCCCAATAAGCCAATTTGATGGGGTGTCCCGTAAATAATCGGTTTAGACGAGCTTCATCCTTATCGGCGGTGCAATTGCCCAACGAGCTGTGAACCCAACTCAAAAATCCTATCACAGGCATAATTAGGTTTGCCGCCAGCGTCAGCCAGACATTAAAATTAATATTATTCCCTATATACATTTTTAATGCCAACCATGCTGAGGCCTCAGAAATTAACCACACCAAAAGTCGGTGGCCATCCGGAAATTGCGGTGCGATGGCAAAGTCACACTCTGTCTGCTACTTTTTGCAGGCGTGAGCGGCATTATAAAGGAAAAAGTTAAGCCCTTCTTAGCTGAAAAACGACACTTCCTTCCGTACATCTCGCGTGCAAAATGAAAAAGGGATGAATCCCCGGCGGAAGTCAAGCATCGTCTCATCTCGTTTCGACCCGGCCTAAAAACAATGAAAATTACAAGGCGTTCCGGGCGGAGGGAAATTCGCAACAAATTTCCTGTGTCGTGCGCCGGGCTTTATCAACATCAGTGCTTAGGCTAAG